GCTAGTTTCGGGGCATGTGCTACAAAGTGGATGTGAATATTTGAAATAACATTGATAGATTTGTTAAGTCGGTGATTTATTTAAGTCGGTGATTGTAAGAGTTGGTATTTGAAACAAGTTAGAATACTGTGGTTTGCATTGATTCAAGGACGAACCTATTTCATGAGTTTAAGAGGGCCACAAGGAAAGTAATAACGGGCAACTCATGCACGTAAAAAGTATAATAATCTAACTAGAGCAGGTTTAGTTGACATAACTTATGAAACAACAATAGGAACGAAAAAAAGATCTCACGGGAAGCATCAAGCGAGGAAAATATTAATTGCTTGGTGATGCAACACTCTCAACTTCATAAAACTGANAAACTGAACAAATTTCATTATTCCCACCTTCCATAACGTTTACAAATATCCTGGGATCGATTTAACACCTGTAGAATAAGTACAATGCGAAGAATGTGCCTCAATTTTAGTACTTTTTCATTTATGACACAGTGCGATGGTGGTTATAATTTTATCAAACGGGAAGAGAAGAAAATATCCAAATTATTAGGAAATTTAGTTGTTTACGGAATACCTTAATGAGGCCAGCTGTAAAAAGACAAAGAAGAAGCAAACACAACTGTCAACTAGCATTCTGATTTCATCGATTACAATTTTTATCCATAATAACAAAAAAACAGGATACAAGTTGATCGTATAGAGTCAAGAAAATCCGAGTTCGTCAACAAGCCCTATGGGAAAAGTGGTGCAATAAATAATTAAGTTAAGTATACACTATAAAAGACCCGTGTATGCACAGTATCTGCGGGTGTTAGCCAAAACAAACGATGCACACAAAAATCTGGATGCATGTAAACCACTCTTCGGGTCTTATAGTCAAATATGACACACACATAAGTGGTCTGATCAATGCAGATCGTACCATGGTTCAATTTATTCTTCTACTTTACGACTACCCAAAGGTATTTATGCTTTAATTCGTAAAGTTTGGTGATTTTTGTTTGTCAGGTGAATTTTCGACAATAATATATGCATCGGGTTTAGCGAAGTTCAACACACGATTCCATATGATCGAGAATAGAATCAAGTTCGGAGGATCAATTCAATTGATTGGCTTGCAAGTGAAGTCAAATCGCGCTGCTTGCGTAGGCTTTAGGTTAGTTTTGCAAGTTGATCAAAGAGCCTACTCGTGGATTAGATGGT